AACCCCCCCTAAAAAAAAAAAAAAAAAAAAAAAAAAAAAGCCAAAGGGTGCGAAACAGTGGTTGAAGTGAAGTGTTCATCGTTAAGAAAGAAGCAAAAGGTAGATAGAGAGAGAGAGAAAGAGAACCTGATCAGAGAAGAGAAATGGCAATGTGAATGAAGAGCAAGAAATGTTGTTTTCATTTGTTCATTGGTGGTTGAAGAAGAAGCATGTTGAGGAGAGGGAAAGAAGAAGAAGGACAACAGAAAGTGAAGTAACTTTGGCGTGTCTTTGAGCACCACTGAACAAGAGTGAACACCTTCTTTGTCTCAGATCCGATCCAAAAGGAAGAGACTAAACAATTAACACTCTATCAGTAACAGCAAACCAGTTTAATTTCTAGGCTTATATGTGTTTACTAATTAATATGCCTTCTTGGTTACATAATTAATATGGTTTTTAATGAATTTCTCTACACTATTTTTTTTTATCCCAATCAAGTTTGCTACAAGAAGCTTTATAACAATTCAGACAAAAAAACTAATTCATGGTTGGTGTAATAATTAGAGATATCATGAAATTACAACTAAGAATACAAACTTTTGGAATCAACAAAAATCAAGTACTACAAGCGAAAATAGTCTTTTGGTTTAATAAACTAGAAATACCATGACAAAACCAAAAAACTAATAATTCAAATAAATTGTTTAACCAATTAAAGTAGATTAAGAACATGTATATACTATTTACTCATAATTATAATAAAATAATATTTTAAATAAAATATATACAAATTTTGTTAAGGCTTAAGTACAATATCTTATTTAAAAAAGTTGAATTTAATACTATTCAGACCAATTAGTTATTAGGTAATAAAATGATATTTATTTGTTACTATTTATGACTAAAATTATATGGGCTAATGGAATGAGCATTAGAGAGAACGGAGGCAACATCACAAGGGAAGATAATAATAAGAAAATAATGGCCTTCTTATCTTAATGTAGTTTCCCTCTAAAAGCCAAATTCTCCTTGTTTCTTGTTCTTGTTTTTGCAAAGTTTTTTTTTTTTTTTTAATGCTTTTGGGAGAACACAGGTTCAAGAGAAATGGGTTGTGTTCTGGCTGGTATGGGGCACTTCATTTTCCTCCCCACTTTTTAAACAATAATATCACTTCTTTAGTTATATATCATTTTTACTTATTTTTAAAATAATAATAATAATAATAAAATAGTATTTTTAAAATATTTTATATCATGTACTTTTCCAACTATCCTTTTTAGGTTATTTTCTGTTGTTTTTATGGTTGATAATAATGCAAACTGTACTAGTGCTGCTTAGTTGTGTACATTTGTATCTAAAATGCAGAGTATAGTGTTAATTAGAGTAAAGATCATATATTTATCATTAATTCAATTTATAGTGTACCATAATTTTAACTTATTAAAATATGAGACTAAAGACATTATTTTATTTTAAAAGAAATCGGTTAGAATATGCAAATTAGCTTCAAAAAAAATTGTCGTTGAATAAATACGAGAATCAAGATACTTTGTTGAATTCTTTATGATATTGGATCCATGGTATATCTTATTGTGAACAATGGATAAACAATTTTTTTTTTTATATGGACACAGGATAAACATATTTATATTAATTATTGAATACGGAAATGTGTATTAAAGAAAGCTTGTGTTTTTCGATGATTGAGTCATTTGGATCACGGATGCAACTGCCGGCAAATTAAGAGTCAAGTTGATATTTCACATCACAAGTACTACTTATAACAAATATTGAAATAACATGAAAAAAAAAATGTTAATATAATCAATGACATAAACGTGTTTTTTTTATTAAATTTAATCAACTGTATTTTTCTTAAAAATAAATTGAAAATAAATATTTTAAAATAAATTAAATTAATTCAAACATATAAAAAATGTAATTGAACAATAAAAAATAATATTATAATTAAATGTATTAAATTTATATGTACTGATACGAGCAAGAGTTAGATAACCAGTACAAAATGACTATAATTAAAAAAAATACTTGCTACTAATTATTTAATAAGCAGTGTTATATTGTAAAAAAAAAAAAGTTACAAGAATTATAGAGTTAATTAAAGGTTTTTAGTAAAATTGGCTCATAAACTAACTGAAAATTTATTGAAAATTTATGTTATAAATTGGAAACTGAAAACTTATTAGTTAAGAACTAAAAAATTATAAGTTTGTGAACTAGCTAATTGAAATGGAAGTTTTTTGTAATTGGTAATTATAAAATGTCAAGAAATAATTCTTATAACGAGGATGAGAAAATGACAGGAAAGATAAAATAGTTTTTAAATTAAAAAGAATAAAAAATAATTTCAAAAAAATAATAAGGATAGAAAAGTAAAAAGAATAAAAAAAAAGACTTACAAACTATGAGTTATTTCAATTAATTTATAAAAATAAATTATAAACACTCATACTAAACAAGCTTATTTAATCGGATTAGCTTATAAACTAGTTAAAAATAACTTAATAAGCTACTTAAATGCCTTCTCAAACACAATCTAGATAAACAGATTTAAAAAAATAAAATCACTCTTAAGTATACCATATAACATGTAAAAAAAAGTACACCATATAACATCTCTCTGGTAGTATTGATTATTATTCTCAAATAACAACCGAGTGATTTGGAAAGATTAGAGTTAGTTCTTAAAATATTTTAATATTGATCATTCAATTAAATAAATTAAATTCACATAATCAAGTCAAGAGATCAAAGCAATTGTAAAATATGTTTTTATCTTCATTGTGAAATTTAAAAAAAAATGAGATTAATATATATATATATAATATTTTTTTTATAATATATCATAAATTATAGAATTGATTCTTTACTTTAAATAGCAACTCAACTTTATATCATCCTTCAATGAGGACTTGTGTTGTAGATAAAATAGTGGATTTATAATCTATAACAGAAAATCTTAAAATGATTTATTTTAATCTTACATGAAATCGTGTTTTGTCCTAATCTAAGTTTTTTATCAATAATATATATATATATATATATATATATATAACAACACATAAATTTAGAAAAATTAAAGCTAACTATATATAATTTTTTATTCATATTTATCACCCGATTATATAAAAATTGAAAACGAAATCAAGATAAATAAATTCAGAAGATAAAATCCAGAAAATCAATCTAATTCTAAATTTTTTGTTATATTTATAGCCTAATTCTAAAAGAAATATGGAAATCGAGGATACTCATCACTCATTTAAGTAAACATTGAAATTGAAATCAAAACAAATCTAGAAAGGTCAAACAAATTCTAAAAAAGAATATTTTTGTTAAAATTTAAATTCAAATTTTTTACGATAAATGAAAATATATAATATAGTATGTGAAAAATGATAATGCATATAACAATTTAAGAAAAAATAGTGAAAATAAAAATAATTTAATTGGAAATAATATGTTATAATTTATATTGACAATGAATGAAATAAATTAAAAATATAATAGATTGTGTGGCAAATCATAAAATTGTCTAAATCCTCAATTCTAGGAGATAAATTGAGTATTTGTTTGAAATTTATTGTCTTGGAAACTTTTTCTTTGTCATATGAAAATGTTTTACACACATTAAAATTAAACACAAGATTTTCTACTAAAATAAATTATAATACATGACCGCAAAATATTTAATCACTACATTAATTTATAAAGTTACTGTATTAGGCATTTTTTAACATCTAACTAAATCAAAAATCCCTAAGAATATTAATAATAAGATATTTTCATTAATTAAGGCTGATTTTAGAAATGTAGACTTCTAAAATTAAAATAGATATCTAGAACCTAATAAAGGTTAATATTTATAAAATAGATATCTAGAACCTAATAATGGTTAATATTTATAAATCTTATTATGTATATACAATTCAATAGTTACACATTTCATACATAGTTAATTAGTCACACATTTTCACTTGATCTAAAAATTAAATAATTTTCAAGCTTACTCATATTTTTGGTCATTTACAAATTTTGTCCCTTCACTTTATTTTTTTTTTTAAATTGATCTCCTACTATTTTAATTATGTAATTTGGATTCATCCGTTAACTTATCATTCCATATTTAACGATAACATTGACATAACAACGTATTAAAGTGTCACATGAATGTTTTTGTTAAATGTACAATGAACATATTGTACAATTAAGAGAATAGCGGATCAAATTCACCAAAATTATGGAAACAAATTGGCAAAATAGAGAAAGATGAAACAAAAGTTTTTAATAAACACACCTATGTTTATATAATTGCATGTAGAAACATTCACTTGGGGAAATAATTTGAAGAAAAAAGATAGAATGTAATCAGAAACACATGGGAGTTAGGTATAAAGAACCAAAAACGAAAAGGTCCAAATGGCGAGAATAATAAGGAATAGCGTTCACATGCACACACGTGAAGCTGACTTGTACCACGTGGAGGGTTCTCACTTGGGGTTGCATATTCTATTCTAACTTCAAACAACAAACACCTCTCACCTATGCACCTATGCTATTTTGGAAACCAACTCTATTATACTTGCAACAAATGGGGAGACACCACACTACTCAATTATTTCAACCCTATGTTTTTTGGAGTGTGTATGCTACCTTTATAAATTGAGGTACTTTTCTTAATTGAGGTGTTTTAGACAATCAAAATATAAGTACGTAATTACTGAATGTCATGTCATTTGTTTTTGCTATCCAAAAGTATATGAATAAAAGTCCAAGTAATTATGGACTCCATTCTTTAAGTTTGTTCTCTCAATCTTCTATATTGCGGAAATAGTATCTAACATTTAAGATATCCCTAGTTCACTTTTAAGTATACATATTGAATCCATGTTCATTGAGAGACCAACTCATTTCAGATGTTTTAGTAAATTGTGAAAAAAAAATCCAACGTGACAGAAACTTAAATGTTATTAGTCTAATAACTAATAATAATTAATCTCTTACTCAATTTTATAAGGGTATATGGTAGAACTGTGTAATCAATAATTCTAGTTTCTAAAATTGATGGCAATACGGTCATATTAGTATTTGATAGGAAGAATATATATGATAATGATTTATCTACTGCCTAACTTAACCCAATTATAGTCATAAGGTTGGTTAAGTTAGATAACTTTTATGTTACTCGATTATAATTAAGTTGAGTAACAAGTCAAAGGGTTTTGTTACTTGATGACCCAATTTATAATAAATTAATAAGAGTTTGTTTAGATAAATTTTTTTCAAAAACATTTATATATAAGAGAAAAATATAAAGAAAAGTGAAATAAGTTTCTCCAAAAATTAAAATTAACTTATATATAAACTAATTTGTAGAAGTTTTC